AAACCTTCACGATCACTTGCAAGAGCGAGATCTAATAGAGATGGATATAAAATAAAAAAACGAAAAATATAATAAAAGTAAGTATATTGCAGCAAGGTATTTTTTGGTTTTCGGTTTTACAGATCTAAAAATATATGATTGAAAATAGACCCGGGGACCATAGGGTTCACTAGAGGCTTCTCCCTTGAAAGATAACATACGATGGGTGAACAAATTACTATTGGGCAATTGATAGAAAAGGGCATAGTTATGATGATATCTAAGGCAATGATCATGAATATAGGCATCACATCCGTGACAAGTAGACCGAATCCTGCCTGCATCTACTACTATTACTCCACACATCGGCCGACTCTTGCCTGCATCTAGAGTATTAAGTTCAAGAGAATAGAGTAACGCATTAAGCAAGATGACATGATGTAGAGGGATAGACTCAAGAAATATGATATAGACCCCATCTTTTTACCCTTAATGGCAACAATACAATACGTGCCCCGCTACCCCTGATGTCACTACGTGAGAACACCGCAAGATTGAACCCATCACAAAGCACATCTCCATTGCAAGATAGATCAATCTAGTTGGCCAAACCAAATCAATATATCGGAGAGAAAAAGCTATTTAAATCATGCATAAAAGAGTTTCGAAGACTCAAATAATATTCATAGTTAATCTAATCATAAACCCACAATTCATCGTGTATCAACAAACACACTACAAAACAAGATTACATCAGAAAGAACTCCAAGAACATCGAGGAGAACTTTGTATTGAAGATCAAAGAGAGAGAAGAAGTCATCTAGGTACTAGCTCTGGACCCGTAGGTCTGTAGTAAACTACTCACACATCATCGAAAGGGCAGCAGAGTTGATGTATTGAATCCCCCTCCGGAAGATTGCCAGAAAAGGCCCCAAGATGGAATCTCACGAGAACAGAAGCTTGCGGCGTCGGAAAAGTATTTTTATGGACGCTTCTGGTATAGGGGGAATACTTGAGAATATATAGAGTTGGAATTAGGATTAGGAGGTCTACGAGGGGCCCACAAACCAGGGGGTGCCCCCCGGGGCGCACCCCTATGGCTTGTGGCCTCCTCGTAGGGCTTTTGGACTCTTCTCCAAGTCTTCTGGGTGTCTTCTGGTCCAAGAAAAATCACCATAAAGTTTTATTCCGTTTGGACTCCGTTTGATATTCTTTTCTGAAAGAGTCAAAAATAAGGAAAAAAAACAACAACGGGCACTGGGCACTAGGTTAAATAGGTTAGTCCTAAAAATGATATAAAATGGGTACCAAATGCATATAAAAGATCCAAGATACATAATATAATACCATGCAACAATAAAAAATTATAGATACGTTGCAGACGTATCAATCACACAAGCAGTCATCATCTCCCATAGCTTCTTCGTGCTCCAATTCCTAGCAGGATACCGAATGATGCCCCGTCGAGATTGCAAGATAGTAAAGGCACGCTTGATGTCCTTCCTAGAACTCTCTTGCTCTTGGGAAAATATTTTCATCTTCTCTCCGACAGGGTTGGGGATTGTCTTCACAATAGTGGTCCACTGAGGATCGATACCGTCACTAGGTAGTATCCTTTGTCGAAGTTGTGGCCGTTGATGGTAACATTCACCGGTGGGCTATTTCCTTCGGCGGGCATAGCAAACACCAGAGAGCATTGAAGAAAGTTGATATCATTGTGTTATCCGGCCATGCCAAAGAAAGAGTGCCAGATCCAGAGATCTTGTGAGGCCACGGCCTCAAGTATGACAATGGAAGCCCTGACATGGCCCTTATACTGCCCTTGCCAAGCAGAAGGGCAATTCTTCCACTCCCAGTGCATGCAGTCTATGTTGCCAAGCATCCCTGGGAAGCCCCTGCTGGCATTCATCACCAACAAGCGGGTTATATCTTGAGCAGTTGGCTCTGTCAAGTACTCAGCGCCAAACAGAGCAATCACAGCCTTGAAGAACTTGTACATGGAGTCTAGGCATGTAGACTCACTCATACGGATGTACTCATCAATGATATCACCAGACACTCCGTATGCAAGCATCCGGACGAGTGCAGTGCATTTCTGATAAGTTGAGAAACTAATCTTTCCAAGGGCATCCTCTTTGCACTCAAAATAGTCATCGTATTCGACTACGCCTCTCTAAAACGGTTGAAAAGATGCCTACTCATACGAAAACACAACCGGAATTTTTGATGTTTGAACAGTGGGTTGGTTGTATCAAAGTAGTCCTTCCGAAGAAGGAAATGACCGCTCTCTTGGTTGTGATTCAACGCAGGAAGGTGCCACAGGATCGATCCACGTAACGACCGCCACTGCCTATTAAGGTGGTGATGAACCAACACTGCAGCCAAGATCTCCTCCTTATCATTGGATGAGGAATCATCTGAGTCGCAAAGGAAATTTTGGAAAAAAGAACTCGTCGGCAGAGTCCATTTTGTACCTTGGCAAACTGTCGAACATCTTGCGGCGTTGATGAAGGAGCCGGCCAGCGAGGAGAAGCGCGCCTCCCTTAGACTAGGTGGCTGCCCTGGAAATGTCCGACGAGCATGCCGGCGTCAGGCCGAAGTAGCTGGTCGGGGTGGCGAGGCGGCTTCCTGCTCGCGTCGGCGTCGGGAGGTGGCGTGGGAAGCTTCGATGCCCCAGCGGCGAGACGGTGGTGAGGACGACGTGGGAGGTGGCGGCATTGGGGGAGGTGTGTCAGCATCGACTGCTGACAGAGGCACTGGAAATGGGTGGCGGCGGCGACACAACGGAGGTGGGCGAGGGTTTGCTGTCGGTCTTGGGGTGTGAGAGGATGGCCAATGTGCCACCGACTAGTGGGCTGCTACGTCTTGAGCCTGCGTTGGTTTTCCTTGAAGAGGAAAGGGTGATGCAGCAATAGTAGTGTAAGTATTTCCCTCAGTTTTTGAGAACCAAGGTATCAATCCAGTAGGAGGCTCCTCAAAAGTCCCATGCACCTACACAAACACACAAAGAACTCGCAACCAACACAATAAAGGGGTTGTCAATCCCTTCACGGCCACTTGCGAAAGTGGGATCTGATAGAGATAATATGATAAGATAAATATATTTTTGGTATTTTATAATATAGATGCAAAAAGTAAAGATGCGAATAAAAGTAGATTGAAAGCAAATATGATAAAAGATAGACCCGGGGGGCCATAGGTCTCACTAGAGGCTTCTCTCAAGATAGCATAAGTATTACGGTGGGTGGACAAATTACTGTCGAGCAAACTGATAGAAAAGCGAACAATTATGAGATTATCTAGGCATGATCATGTATATAGGCATCACGTCCACGACAAGTAGGCCGACTCCTGCCTGCATCTACTACTATTACTCCACACATCGACCGACTCCTGCCTGCATCTAGAGTATTAAGTTCATAAAGAACAGAGTAACGCATTAAGCAAGATGACATGATGTAGAGGGATAAACTCATGCAATATGATATAAAACCCATCTTTTTATCCTCGATGGCAACAATACAATACGTGCCTTGCTGCCCCTGCTGTCACTGGGAAAGGACACCGCAAGATTTAACCCAAAGCTAAGCACTTCTCCCATGGCAAGAAATATCAATCTAGTAGGCCAAACCAAACTGATAATTCGAAGAGACTTGCAAAGATAACTCAATCATACATAAAAGAATTCAGAGGAGATTCAAATATTTCTCATAGATAAACTGGATCATAAACCCACAATTCATCGGATCTCGACAGACACACCGCAAAAAGAGTTTGCATCGAATAGATCTCCACAAGAGAGGGGGAGAACATTGTATTGAGATCCAAAAAGAGAGAAGAAGCCATCTAGCTAATAACTATGGCCCCGAAGGTCTGTGGTAAACTACTCACAACTCATCGGAGGGGCTATGGTGTTGATGTAGAAGCCCTCCGTGGTCGATTCCCCCTCCGGCGGAGCGCCGGCGAAGGCTCCAAGATGGGATCTCGCGGATACAGAAGGTTACGGTGGTGGAAATTGTGTTTCGTTGGCTCACTGGATGTTTTCGGGGTACGTAGGCTTATATAGGAGGAAGAAGTACGTCGGTGGCCGCCCGAGGGGCCCACAAGATAGGGGGCGCGCCCAGAGGGGGTGGACGCGCCCTCCTATCTCGTGGCCGCCTCGGCTGCTTCTTGAGTTGCACTCCAAGTCCTCTGGATCACGTTCGTTCCAAAAATCACGCTCCCAAAGGTTTCATTCCGTTTGGACTCTGTTTGATATTCCTTTTCTTCGAAATACTAAAATAGGCAAAAAAAAACAGTAATACGGGTTGGGCCTCCGGGTCAGCGCGTTTGGTCGGTTTTTCTGTCCGCGATGACCCAAACGGACGCACGCGGACGAAATGGGTCAGCGCATTGGAGTTGCTCTAAGGTATTCATTTTCCTTTTACTGAATTCAGCAGCAACAATTACTCAATTGTATCCCCACAGTATCCTTATTTATTTTCATTTTATAATAATTACTCAATTGTATCCCCCACAGTATCCTTATTTATTTTCATTTTATAATAATTACTCAATTGTATCCCCCACAGTATCATTTTTTTATTTTTGTTTTCCTAAATTCATTCAAAATAGGATACTCCAGTTACTCAATTAATACTCCAGTATCCTTTTCGTCGCTGGACGCGGATACACAATTCATACTTTAAATTGGTTAAAAGCATCTATATATACACTATACTACACCACCCCTAGAGTATAGAGTGATACTAAATTAATACTCCTGTATCCCATGTAGTATAAGGACGTGGATACTCGATTAATACTCTAAGATTGGTTAGAAGCACCTATATATACACTGTACTGCACTACTCATGGACGTATAGCGGGATACTCAATTAATAGTCTCATATCCTGCGTAGCAGGACGACGATACTCAATTAATACTCTATAAGATTGGCTACAATCATCTATATATGCACTATACTGCACTACCCGTAGACATATAGAGGAATTAACCTCGAGCTACCAATAATACGCCCATGGCCTTCGACTTCGACCATGAGCGCCTCTGTGCCCTCAAGGCATTCGATGAAACAAAGGCGGGCGTCAAAGGCCTCGTTGATGCTGGCATCACCGCCATCCCGTCCATCTTCCACCATCCTCCCGAGTCCTTTGCCCCATTGGCGCCTTTCTCCACCGACGTTGCCATCCCGGTAATCGACCTCTCGGGCCGACGATCGGAGGTGGTCAGCACGGTGAAGGCGGCTATAGAGAAATTGGGCTTCTTCTTGGTGGTGAACCATGGTGTGCCGGAGGTAGCCATGTCGAACATGCTATCTGTGGTGCGGGGCTTTCACGAGGAGCCTGCGGAGGCCAAGGAGATCTACTACACGCGGGACGAGGAGAGACAAGTCAAGTACAGTGGCAATGCGGACCTGTTTCGGTCACCGGCAGCCAAGTGGCGTGACACCATGTACATCAATGACGCGGACCGGCTAGCAGAAGAGATCCTGCCACCGGTGTGCAGGGGCGTCGTGCCGGAGTACACAAGGCTCATGCGGCAGCTGGGGCGCTTCCTGTTCGGGATAGTGTCTGAGGCTCTGGGGTTGCAGCGTGGATACATGGAGGACGAGACGGGTTGCCTAGATGCATTGCTCCTCGGCTGCCACTACTACCCGGCGTGTCCGGAGCCGCACCTCACACTGGGCGCCGTCAGGCACTCCGACGCCAGTTTCCTCACCGTGGTGCTCCAGGATGGCGTTTATGGCGGCCTGCAATTGCTCGTTGATGATAACAAGCAACAGAAGGTGTGGGTGAAGGTGCCGGCGGTGGCGGGAGCGTTGGCTGTGAACGTGGGCGACTTCCTGCAGCTGGTGTCCAATGACAAGTTCAAGAGCGTTGTGCATCGTGTGGTGTCCAACAGTGTGGGACCCAGATTGTCGGTGGTGTGCTTCTTCAGGGCGAATATGGCAACGTTGTGTGAGCCGGTGGTCGTCGACGGGAGCGGTCCACCACGGTACCGGACTATCAAGGCGGAGGAGCTGTTCGGCTCGTCCAGGACAACGCTCAAGTCGGCCTCATCATCCCAAACTGCTCTCGATTACTTGAGGCTCTAATAAATACTATATAATTTGTCGTTTGAGCAATGCAAAATAGACCGAATAATAGTTTTGACATGTGCGGTCGGTCCGATTTCAGATATGCCATCGAACTATGTATGTCTTCTTTGTCAGGTAATAATTTCATCCAATCAGCCATTCCTCCATTGTTCAGTCTTAAATACGATATCTGACCATTTAATACCTGCAAAATAGAACCGCCAATGCAACAATGTATGTACATCTGCGTGTAGAAGTTTTTTAACTTTTCTCTCTGCTACTCATCAAAGCACTCGTCGACATAGTAAGACGCCTCGCATGGCTACACAGAGACCTACTTCCTCCATCCCATAATATAAGACCATTTTGCAAACTAAAACAACTTGTAAAACGATCTTATATTCTGAGATGGAGTAGTAGAAAGTAGTAGTGGGTATTCAGCTATTCCTTTTCCCGACACGGAGGTGCACATGTCGCCTTCTCCTGACCTTTCATCCCAGACGCTGGTATTTGGCTGATGCTTACTCGATTCATGTGCGTGCTTTTGCCTCTGAAATGCTGATGCTTGAGTGTTGCGTGATGAACTACTATTTGGCTAGTGCTTCTGTCCACGTCAAGTGACCTCGTGTTGTGCAAAGCCTGGATGAGCTAGAGTTCTGAACAAATCATTATTGCTTCTGGACTTGTATTGTTGTACAGTTATGCTATGCTTGTTGCTACTCCTAGCTGGTACTGAACTATGCATGCCAATTACTTTATTTTCATTTGTCAATTGTTCATGTGCGACTGTGTCATGCTTTAGCTCGTTGAGTCATTCTAAAATTCGTTCAAGTTAGTTAATGTGATCTTTCCCGTAATCATACCAAAATAGTGGTTTTAACAGAGCCGAGCCATAATTTCGTTGCATATGCCCTATTAACCAATGTAGGAGAACCATATTTGCCAATAAACCATACTAATCGAACCATATTAACCAAATTAACCGAACACACATGGCTACTCACATGGTAGCATATGAGACATGAGTGTAACTACCACCGAATGGTAGGATGTGTTTTCCATGCGCCTCTTCCACCTGTTGTGGTAAATTCATAATATATATATATATATATATATAGAAAATGTTTTTATTTTATAAAAGCTACATGGTGTATTTAAAAAGCATACATCCGATATTACAAAATATTCTCCGTGTATCTAGAAAATGTTCATTGTTTATCATGTATATAGAAATGTTCATCATGTATTTAAAAATATTCATTACTCATTTTTGAAACATTCATCCCACATTTTAAATTATTCATATTGTATTTTGAAAAAATCGACATGTGTTTTGAAAAATATACATCAGATTTTTATAAAGTTTGTCAAATATCTTAACAAAATTAGGAAAGAAAAGCGAATGTAAAATATTAAAAAAGACAAAAATAATAACATAAAAGTATAAAAAGGAAAAAGAAAACCAGAGAAAACCCTAGATGCAAAAACTAGAGGGAAGAAGCAGACACTGGAACTGCATCAACTTTTTTTTTGAGATCAGGAAATGGATTAGCTGAACCTGGGACAAAACCGTTCATTTGCCACCATGTTCATTTGCCACCATATATTTTTCTTATCATCAATTTTTTTACATGTCTCAAATAAATGATTAACATATTTTCAAACACATGCTTTGATTTTTTTCTTTCAAATAGTAGTTATAAAATTTTCCAAACTAATATTCAATTTTTTTAGATGATACAATTTTTTTAAAGTAAGTGAACAGTTTTCACACTTTATCACCAATTTTTTTAAATGCCAAGGACATATTTTTTAAAGGTGTAAAAAGTTTTTTAATGGTACAAACCAGTTTTTTGCAGTTAAAAAATCTGTTTTTATACATTGTATACACTTTTAATAAAAACGCCTCATTTATTTTCTGAAATGTATTCAAAGTTTTTAAATGTCACAAACAATTTTTTAAAGCTATACACATTTTTTATAATTAGGGTTACAAAATTTTCATGATTTTTAAATTATTTTTAAATAAATTCATGTCGAAAATATATATACTTGTAGTTTTTGGAAAATATAAACATATGTAACAAGGCAAAAAAACAAATGAATGAAGACATAAAAGAAAATTTTACTAACTAGAAAGTTGGGCCAGCCCAATAGTAGTGGTTGGGAGGGCGCCCCTTTAGGCTAGATCTTGTTTGGTCTTGCATGAAGCGATACATAACGGCGCCCTCCAAACATGTCAACCCCCCATCTACCCTTCACAGTTTTTTTTCTTTTTCACTCCAGATAATGGGCTAAAGGCCGAAACACGAACTGGACCGAGCAATATTGAAGCGTCTCATATTTGTTAGCCGGGAAATTTATTTAATTGTAAGAACTACTTGAACAGGGGATCGGCAACGGTCTTATGTTAAGATTAACTCTTTTGGACGAGGCAATACAATCTGCTCCAACTTCAAATATACTAGAGGCTAACATGCGCTTCCCCATGCCGTTCTTAACTCATGGGCTTAACTATTTTTTTAACTCGCAGGTTATTGTGGTAATTCGTTTCGATTTGGTTTTAACTTCCTTGGCTTGTGTTTAATATATAACTACATCACATGACTACATCCTCAATAGGTAGGTTGGTCGGGAATACAAGTTTTGTCGACAGACAGTTTATCCGTAAAGACTATTTGCCGACCTACCCTGTCTGTTGGGGAAAGTCCACATGTGAAAACCCTTTCCCGACCGACTACTTGTCGATTATGGAGTATCTTTCCCAATCAACATTTTGTTTGGCCTGTTATGGGCCTTTCCCCACCAACAATCCGTTGGGGCTGCCATGGGCCTTTCCCGAACAACCATCGGACGAGTATTCTTGCCCGACCAGCAATCCATTGGTGTCGCTATGGGCCTTTCCCAATCGACTATCAGACATGGTGTTCTTTCCCGACCAACATTCATTTGGCCCTGGCATTAGCCTTTGTCAGTGGAACTTATGAAAGATGCACCGGGTTTACAATGAATTTATACTATGCAAGCTCACCTATATGTCTAATATAAATGGTTTGGTACTTTAATAGCCATAATGTAGAATACGATATATGTTGGTTCTTGGTCATTGTTCATGGATGGTGTCATTGTTCATGGATGGTGTCATTCTTGGACCTCCGTGAAGCCCAATATTCATTACTATGTAGTGCCTGATTCTAAAAAACAACATGGGAGAAATCATGCCTATGTTCTGTTACTGTTACTTCTCCATATATTTCTCTTAGGACCTAGAACTCGAAGCTATGGTAGTGTTGGTACTTTAGGCCCTTTTGTTAAAATTTTCTTTTATGAATAATGTCTGAATTCACTTCAGAGTAAATGTTGATTCGCAGTGATATAAGACCCTGTTTATTTCAGTTTTGATTGCATTCGAATCACATGTAGATTTGCTTCAGTGGTAAAGTTGATTCGCCATCGAAGTATAATTTGAGGTGCTTTTGCAAATTGCACTAAAAATGGTCTGAATCCAGACTCAGCTTCACTAGCAAAACCGATTTGAAATAGCTGTTTGTTTCATATTCCATGTTCAATTTCATTGGCAAAACAGATTTGAAATAGTTGTTTGTCTCAGATTCCAGATTCATCGGCAAAGATGAATCTGGTCCCTAAAGCCCAAACAAACAGGACCTTGGTGTGTGCCGAATCAACTTCTTCTGATTGCACTATGTTGCATATTTTGCCTTTCGGTCTCATACATTTGCTTTGTTTGTCTTATGACACCAAAGTGTTCCAAAGTGAAGTTGCTCAAAATCGCAACCCTCTTTGTTGTCTCCAATCTATTATTTTTGCGGGGTTCTGATCAATTGATTTTAGTTGCATAGTGATAAATGTGCATAGTGATAAATATATCATTATTTAATAAAAAAATAAGAATTAAAAAGTTTGCGGCGAAAACTTGTCCAGGCAACTATTCATGAGTTACTTGACACAACCTTAGAATTTGGAGTAGTATTTTGATTAATAAATACTCCAATAAGATGTTGTTTTATTTATAAATTCAAGTATAGTGAAGATGTTGCCCGTGCATTTGCGCGCCCCGCTGTGCCTGTCACCATGGATCGCCAGTGCCGGCTGGAGCGGGGAGCGGAGAAGAACGCTTGACCATCATCAAACGTCAAGTCGTAACACTTGACTTGATACGTGTGGAAAAAAATGGTCACGCGGCCATCGCAGCATGCAGCGTACGCGGGCTTGGCTGCATGAAGTTAATGGCGGATCGCCGTCGGACTTGTCAGACACGGCCTGCCGTGGTGCACTCCGATCGACGCCGGACGTCTCAGACACGCCTGTGGTGCAGCACTGAGACGGATCGACCGTCGGCGTTGACGAGACCAACGACGACTCCGAACGTCGACCAGCTTCACTAATTCAGGCACTCTCTAATGTTACTACTACTAGTATAAATCAAGGGTTCTTCTCATACTCATAGTTGTACGAAGCCAACCACAGCATGAGTCCCACGGCCATTAATCTGCTTCTTCTCATGCTTGCCATAGCCGCCCACACCACCTTCCATGGCCGGCCGGAGGTGAGCAGACCTCTACTGGACTTGAAGACCCGGTGGAAGCTATCTGATGATTTCCACGACGCACCGCCGGCGACCCCACGAGCTCATGTCGTCCCTGCGTTTCTCGGCTCCTTCGACAACAACCTGAGATACTATCATAGTAACCTCTCCACGATACTGTTTTCCGGTAGGGTGCTTCCTCAGCTTGGCAACTTCTCCAACTCCAAGCTGCACTACCTTCGCCTCTCGTCGTCTAAGAGAAACGATGACTACCTCCCATGTACTACCAGTGCGCATTTGGACTCCACAGAAAATGTCTCATGGTCAACACGTTTGAGTCTGTTGCGGCTCCTCCACATGATACGACTCAACTAGCTAGACTTTGACGTGGAGTGGAAGACCATCTTTCACCACAAACAGGCCACCCGTGCTCAAGCACACACGCAGCAAGTAGAAAATGTATCTCAGGGAT